GGCCGAGGGACCCCACTGGTGCACGATCGGGGCCGGTGAGGGACCACGGGAGGGCTCCAGGGCACGTCCGGCCCATCTTGCCCAGTCTCCATAGGCCGGACCCCAGCATCAAGCTAAAGGGGTGTCTTCCCCTGGTGGTCAGTGTGCATCATAGCAACTGGTCGAATGAACGGTCAGACACTTAACATATTAGGCTTATATTACATAGGATTACCCTAATACTTTTTTGCTACTGCCCATGCCTTTAGGGCAGAAATGCCACTCCTGAAAATTTATTGAGAAATTAGTTCAAAAGAAAAAAAAAAATCTCAAGATACAAAGATGTTTATAATAGCACTAGAGGCCCGGTGCACAAAAATTTGTGCACTGGGGAGGGGAGGGGGGTCCCCCAGCCCGGCCTGTGCCCTCTCGCAGTCTAGGACCCCTCGGGAGATAACGACCTGCTGGCTTAGGCCTGCTCCAGGGTGGCAGAGGGCACGCCCAATCCCTAGGTGCAGCCGCTGGTGGGGCTCAGAGCAGGGCCGATTGGGGAGTTGGGGTGCCGCCCCGTCATGCACAGAGCAGGGCGGATCGGGAGGTTGCGATGGCACCCTCAGTCATGCTCAGGGTAGGGCCTATTGGGGGGTTGGGGCACCGCCCCCTGTCACACTCAAGGCAGGGTCGATGGGGAGGTTGCGGCGCCACCCCCTGTCACGCACAGAGCAGGGTCGATCAGGGGGTTGGGGCGCTGCCCCCTGTCACTCACAGAGCAGGATCCATCAGGGGAGTTGGGGCTCCGTACCCTGTCACACACAGAGCAGGGTCGATCAGGGGGTTGGGGAGCTCCCCCCTGTCACGCACAGAGCAGGGCCCATCAGAGGGTTGAGGAGCTCCCCCCTGTCATGCACAGAGCAGGGCCGATCAGGGGGTTGAGGAGCTCCCCCCTGTCACTCACAGAGTAGGGCCGATAGGGGAGTTGGGGCACTGCCCCCTGTCACACACAGAGCAGGGCGGATCAGGGGGTTGGGGCGCTGCACCCTGTCACACTCAGGGCAGGGCCAATGGGGAGGTTATGGCTCTACCCTGTCACACACAGAGCAAGGCCCGTGGAGGGGGGTTGGGGTGCCACCCTCTATCACTCACAGAGCAGGGCCGATCAGGGGGTTGGGGCGCTGCACCCTGTCACACTCAGGGCAGGCCCAATGGGGAGGTTATGGCTCTACCCTGTAACACACAGAGCAAGGCCCGTGGAGGGGGGTTGGGGCGGCACCCTCTATAACCCACAGAGCAGGGCTGATCAGGGGGCTGGGGCGCTGCCACTGTCACACTCAGGGCAGGGCCGATGAAGAGGTTATGGCTCTACCCTGTCACACACAGAGCAGGGCCCGTGGGGGGGGAGGGGGGGTTGAGGGCAGGCTTGGGGCGCCGCACCCTGTCACACACAGAGCAGGGCTGATCAGGGGGTTGGGGCGCCGCACCCTGTCAAACACAGAGCCGCGGGGCGATCAGGGGGTTGGGGAGCTCCCCCCTGTCACACACAGAGCCGCAGGGAGATCAGGAGATTGGGGAGCTCCCCCCTATCAGGCACAGAGCAGGGCTGATCAGGGGGTTGGGGCACCTTCCCCTGTCACACACAGAGCAGGGCGGATAGAGAGGTTGTGGCCCCGCCCCCTGTCACACACAGAGCCCCAGGGCGATCAGGGGGATTGGGCGCTGCCCCCTGTCATGCTGATCCCGGTGCCAGGAGGCCTCGCGGCTCCACTGATCCCGGTGCCGGGAGGCATATTACCCTTTTACTATATAGAATAGAGGCCTGGTGCACGGGTGGGGGCCGGCTGGTTTGCCCTGAAGGGTGTCCTGGATCAGGGTGGGGGTCCCCACTGGGGTGCCTGGCCAGTCTGAGTGAGGGGCTGAGGGCCGTTTTCCGGCTGGCAGGTGACTAAAGCTCCCAACTGCTCCTTTTTTTATTTTTATTTTTTAATCTGGGCCAGCTTTAGCTCTGAGGCCTCGGTTGCTGAAAGCCGGTTTCTGGCCTTTGTTTTTCCTTCTGTATTTGATTCAATGTTGCGGTCCGGCTGGCTGAACCTGGCTGACTGAAAGCCGGTTTCTGGGGTTTTGTTTAGCTTCTTATTTGCAACATAGTTGCTTAGAGTTGCAGCTGAGAGGCCGGCAACTCAGGCGGGGAACGTTGGAGTCCGCAGTCACTGGAGCAAGCAAGCCTCCCTGTTCGCTTCAGTCATAGCTGCCGGCCGCCATCTTGGCTGACAGTTAATTTGCATAAGGATATGCTGATTAGCCAATGGGAAGGGTAGCGGTCGTACGCTAATTACCATGTTTCTCTTTTATTAGTGTAGATTACTAAAAATAACAAAAAGTTAGAAATAACAGCTTAAATGTGGCACATTAACTTAACAGATTATTAAGAAGTTACTGAAAATTATGACAAAATAGAAAATATTTGCTTTATAAAGGGAAAAATATCTGTCATTTTCAATTTAGAGAAGCCTCACTGCCGATCTGAAATAGCTTTTCCACAAAATATTTTTTATATATTTTCTAACATTAGTAACATATCCAGTTTTCAAAGGACTTGTGAAATCTAGGTATTCAAAATACTTTGGTAGTCAGGAACTATTCTGAGCACTGTTAAAACCACATTTCCATAAACAATAAATTTTGGGTCCTTGCCACAGATGGAAAGCATATAGGTTCTTTAACTAGATTATTTGATAATGTACACTATCAACTTTTCCCTACCTTACCCTGTAATTTATTTAATCACTCAACGAATAAGTACTGAATGCTTCTATGTCTGAGGGACTAGGTTACAATAGCAAACAGTAATCAATTCATCCAGCCAGTGTGGTTCAGTGGTTGAAAGTCAACCTATGAACCAGGAGGTCATGGTTCAATTCTGGGTCAGAGCATATGCCTGGGTTACAGGTTTGATCCCCAGTAGGGGGCATGCAGGAGACAGCCGATCAATGATTCTCTCTCATCGCGGATGTTTCTATCTCTCTCTCCCTCTCCCTTCCTCTCTGAAATCAATAAAAGATATATTTTTTTAAAAAACAATTATAAAACTCTTAGAAGAAAACAGTAAATTTTCATGACCTTGGGTTAGGCAAAGATATGACACCAAAAGCACAAGTGATAAGAAATTGGATCGAGAAATTACACCTGGATTATATAAAGAACTCTTACAAATCCATAGTAAGAAAACAACCCAATATTTTTCTAGTGGGCAAAAAATGTGAACAGACATTTCACCAAAGAAGACACATGAATGGTCAGATAAGCACATGAGATGACATCCAACATCATTAATCATTACAGAACTGCATATTAAAACCAAAATACCATTTTATATCCACTAGAATGACTATGATCAGAATGACAGGAATAACAAGTCTTGGCAAGAATAAGAAAAGAATGAAACCTTCATACATTAATGGTGAGAATGTAAAATAGCACGACCATTTTGGTAGTTCCTTAAAAAGTTAAACATAAAGTTACCACATGACCCAGAAATTCTACTCTTAGGTCTCTTTACAAGGAAAAAATAAAAAGATGTCCACATAAAGACTTATCCATAAATGTTCATAGCAGCACTATTCATAGTAATCAAAAAATGGAAGGAATATAAATGTCTATTAACTGGCCCTAGCTGGTTTGGCTCAGTGGATAGAGCGTCGGCCTGCAGACTGAAAGGTCCCAGATTCAATTCCGGTCAAGGGCACACGCCTAGGTTTCGGGCTCGATCTCCAGTAGGGAGCATGCAGGAGGCAGCCAATCAATGATTCTCTGTCATCATTGATGTTTCTATCTCTCTTTCTCTCCCTTCCTCTCTGAAACCAATAAAAATGTATTTTTTTTTAAAGTTAAAAAAAAAATGTCTATTGCTGAAACCGGTTTGGCTCAGTGGATAGAGCGTCGGCCTGCGGACTGAGGGGTCCCAGGTTCGATTCCGGTCAAGGGCATGTACCTGGGTTGCGGGCACATCCCCAGTGGGAGATGTCAGGAGGCAGCTGATGGATGTTTCTCTCTCATCGATGTTTCTAGCTCTCCATCTCTCTCTCTCTTCCTCTCTGTAAAAAAGTCAATAAAATATATATATATTTTTTTAAAAGTCTATTAACTGGTGCATGGATAAACAAATTGTGGTATATCCCTATAATGGAATACTCTTCAGCAATAAAATGGAATGAAGTCCTATTACATGCTCCAACATGGATAGAATTCTGGACAAAATACAGCAAACTGAATTCCACAACAAATGAAAAGATTATATACTACGACCAAGGATTTTTTCCAAGAATTCAAGGTTGGTTTAACATATGAAAATCAATTAATATAATATACTGTTGTTATTAAATGATCAAGTTAGTGTTCTTTAGTCTGACAGATGCTAAGTAAAAAAGAAGCCCCACACTAAGGACCACATATTGTCCAATTTCACATATATGAAATATTCAGAAAAGGCAAATACAGAGACAGAAAGTAGATTATTAGTTGGCTGGGGTGGAAATAAGGAACAACTGCAAATGGGCACAAGGAATCTTTTGGGGGTGATGGAAATGTTCTAAAATTGGATTTTGCTGCCTGGCTGGCATGATTCAGTGGTTGAATCAGGAGATTGAACCTTGAATCAGGAGATCATGGTTCGATTCCCGGTCCAGACATATGCCCAGGTTGCAGGCTCAATCCTCTGTGTGGGGCATGCAGGAGGCAGCTGATCAATGATTCTCTCTCATCATTGATGTTTCTATCTCCCTCTCCCTCTCCCTTTCTCTCTGAAATCAATAAAAATATATTTTTAAAAATAAAATAAGATAACCTAAATTCTAACTACAACACAAGACTTTTAACATCTTAAGAGCAAAAAATTCTCTCATCATTACATCCTTTCTACTTAAAGTGCCTAACAATCAATATGAATGTTGAACTGAAAAATGAACTTGCCATTACTAAACAGTTTTCTGAAAAATAAAAACTAAACAGTTCTAGTCAATTTTACTAACCTGAATTTTGTTTAGAGCCTGATGACCCTCCATGTTCTAGTTTTGCCTTCTTTTTCTTCGATGATGATGAAGTTGATGACTCAGAAGATACTGAACGTTTTTCTACTACAGGAGTGGAAAGAGCTCGTTTTTTGAACAGCTCCCTTTCTCTCAAAAGGCTTGGATCCATAATGCTGCAAAGATAAAAGTCAGTACCTTTAATACAGATTCCAGTCACTTTAATACAGATTCAAACCTATATGCTAAATTTTAAGTCTCAACAAGAGTTACTTCCCAAACAAAATTATCTTGTTACCAGTTGCCTAGCATTTGTACTCACTGACTCATTCACTCAAAAAATCTTTAATGAGGGCCTATTATTGTGCCAAGCATTGTGCTAAGCATTAGTAAAGAGAAATAGAATTGTTCTCTAAAACTCTAGAACTGCACTCTCCAATTTGGTAGGCGCTGGCCACATGTGCCTATTGAGCACTGAGTGGGGCTAGAGTTGAGATGTACTCTAAATGTAAAATATACATCAGATGGAAAAGACTTAGTACAAAGAACAGAACTTATAACATTGCTAATGACATATTTTCGACTGATTCTACACTGATGTGATATTTTAGATATACTGGATTAAGGAAAATATTAAAATTAATTTACCCTAAATTTTTTAGAAACCATGGCTACTAGAAAATTGTAAATTACATGTCTGACTCACACTTGAAGCTTACATTGCAATTCCATTGGACAACACTGCTCTAGAAACAACATCAAGAATGCTGTCTACACAAGAAGAAGAAATAAAAGGCATCCAAATTGGAAAAGAGGAAGTAAAACTGTCCTTATTTGCAGACGACATGATATTATACATACAAAACCCTAGAGACTCCATCAAAAAACTACTACTTAATACATGAATGGCAATGTAGCAGGATACAAAATTAACCCCAAGAAATCTGAGGCATTTCTATACACCAATAGTGAACTTTCAGAAAGAGAGATTATAAAAACAATCCCATTTACCATCGCACCAAAAAAATTAATATACCTAGGAATAAACTTAACTAAAGAGGTAAAAGACCTCTACTCAGAAAACTACAGGACGTTGAAAAAAGAGATAGAGGAAGACATAAACAGATGGAAGAACATACCATGTTCTTGGATTGGTAGAATCAACATCATTAAAATGTCCATACTACCCAAAGCAATCTATAAATTCAACGCACTTCCCATTAAAATACCAATGGCCTTCTTCAAAGATCTAGAACGAACTCTCCAAAAATTCATCTGGAATAAAAAAAGACCCCGAATAGCTGCAGCGATCCTGAGAAAGAACAAAGTAGGTGGGATCTCAATGCCAGATATCAAGCTGTATTACAAAGCCACTGTTCTCAAAACTGCCTGGTACTGGCACAAGAACAGACATATAGATCAGTGGAATAGAATAGAGAGTCCAGAAATTAGCCCGAACCAATATGCTCAATTAATTTTTGACAAAGGAGGCAAGAACATACAATGGAGCCAAGATTGTCTCTTCAATAAATGGTGTTGGGAAAATTGGACAGATATATGCAAGAAAATGAAACTAGACCACCAACTTACACCATACACAAGAATAAACTCAAAATGGATAAAGGACTTAAATGTACGACAGGAAACCATAAAAATTCTAGAAGAATACAAAGGCAACAAAATCTCAGACATATGCCAAAGCAATTTCTTCACTGATACAGCTCCTAGGGCAGTTGAAACTAAAGAGAAAATGAACAAATGGGACTACATCAAAATAAAAAGCTTCTGCACAGCAAAAGAAACCATCAACAAAACAACAAGAAAACCCACTTCGTGGGAAAACATATTTGCCAACGTCATATCTGATAAGGGCTTAATCTCCAAAATTTATAGGGAACTCATACAACTTAACAAAAAGAAGATAAACAATCCAATCAAAAAATGGGCAAAGGATCTAAATAGACACCTTTCAAAAGAGGACATTCAGAAAGCCAAGAGACATATGAAAACATGCTCAAAGTCACTAATCATCCGAGAGATGCAAATCAAAACAACAATGAGGTACCATCTCACACCTGTCAGAATGGCCATCATCAACAAATCAACAAACGACAAGTGCTGGAGAGGATGTGGAGAAAAAGGAACACTTGTGCACTGCTGGTGGGAATGCAGACTGGTGCAACCACTATGGAAGGCAGTATGGAGGTTCCTCAAAAAATTGGAAATGGAACTCCCATTTGACCCTGTGATCCCACTTCTAGGAATATATCCCAAGAAACCAGAAACACCAATCAGAAAGGATATATGCACCCAGATGTTCATAGCAGCACAATTCACCATAGCTAAGATCTGGAAACAGCCTAAATGCCCATCAGTAGATGAATGGATTAGAAAACTGTGGTACATCTACACGATGGAATACTATGCTGCTGTTAAAAAGAAGGAACTCTTACTGTTATGCCCAGATTCCAAGATTCCCAAGAAATCATATTAGGGAGCCAATTCGATGCAAAAGCATAAGAATCTGTATTTATTTCAAGCTAGCTTGGGCGCAGACACACCGACATAAAAGCAATCCACGTGGCTGAGCGCGCCAACCTCGTCTCAGGACGGGTTATATAGGGGGGGGGGTTGGAGTAAGGGGAGGAGAAAGAACTGTGCTCTGCCGCCTGGGTGTGGCTAGCAGAGTAGGACGTAGCCCCTACCCTGGGGCAACCTAGCCCTCGCCCTTTCATTCCCCCCTTTGTCTTGGAACTTCCGGCTCAATCATGAGACGGACTGATTCCACCATTGCTAGAGGCCCGTACTGGGCATATTTTAATAAATGGTCTGGTGGAGGGGAAAGAAACCATTTTAGCTTTAATAATTTTTATTGAAATAGGATTTTTCTTCTTAAAATTTCTCCATGGCTATCAAAAAGCCAAATCAAGATTAATTTATCTACTGTCCTGATGTTTGCATAAATACAACAAGAATGGTAACTGACTACCTTTGCTGGAATCTCATGGTTGAATTTTAATGTGCCCGTAGGGCCAG